GTGTGGTTCAGCGTGGCTGTGCATGCCCTGTTATGCATTGGGCCATGGGTGACCGCCACACCTACACAAGGAGTTATATGACAACATCATTGTATGTATTAGAGTCTGGAAAATAAATGGAGAAAGGATAAACTAATAAGCTGAAATAATTATCAGAAGCTTTTGTTGAATATGGAATAAGATAGTTAGGATTAATTCAGGTGTCTTGGTAGCATGTTTAGCATTTATTTTTTTAAAATTCATATACAATTCATTTGTTGGTGGGTGTGCAAAGTTTTATATTTTGTGCCTTTCAACAAATCATGTGGTTGATAAAATTGGCAGTTAATTGGCACTTTTACTACCGCTAAACATATGTAAGACTGAGAGTACAACAAAAACATAAGATTTGGATCTTTAGGGGTTCTTACTGTGACATTATGTAAATTGAGGACATGTTGAATTTTTCCATATATGCAAATGCTGTATAAATTCATAAATAGTTCAGCTACCTTTCTTATTCCTGTTTTACCAATCTACCAGTCTGAGTTAGCTATCCATTCAGTTAGGGGTGCGAGAGAAGCAGCAGCTGTTCACATCAATTTTGGCACTAGATTATATTCAAACTGTTCATTAGCTATTATGCCTACTACGGTGTCAGAACTCATGTGCTGGCATATTATGCAATCTGACATGCATTTGGCAACTTGAAGTAAAGAAGCTAGTTGGTTAATTCTTATTGCAACCAATATTGATCAACATTCAAGAGATCCTTCACTTGTGGGGAAAAGGTTAGGTGGGGAAATGTAACGATTTGATGAATGAAGGAAAGGCTAGCATTTTACCTGATTAGATTTTGTTCAGGTTTATTGTCCAGTAGTTTATCCAGATAAATGAGTCTCTGCAGATTTTACTTGGCTAATCGTTGCTGACTATAGAGGGTGGTGCTCATCTCCGATTCAAGGCCATTGAGCCAGTGCTGTTCGAAGACATTTCAATGAACATGTGGCATCATGATATCATGGAGCACTGTTACCTTCCCATCAAAGTGGTACCTATGTACGTACCCACATTTGCATGCTTTCGAACTGCTAGGTTGGCAGGAACTGGGGTGAGGATGGGAGCTCATCCCATTGCGTGGCACTTGGGTCTTTAACCTGGGCTGCCGTTTTTCCAGCTGCTAGGCCTAATGTTTTAACCACTGCTCCTCCAGTTTATCCTCTGCCCTGTTATTTTTGAATCGGAAAGCATGTGGCCAAGATGCTATGCAAAGAAACCCATTTCTGTTTCTGTGGTATAAGAGTAGAAGCATTGACACCACTATGAGGAGAGACATATGCCGTTCAGTTCTTCTACCATGAGTTTATATTTTTCTTGATATGCTATTTTATAAATTATAATCAGCACAGAGAAATGTTTTGTCTTAATGGTTATTATAAACATTAATGAAGCATATGATTAATAAAACATGCCACATGTGGACTATTTTAAAACTATTCTGAAATGGACTCTGTGCTTATAGTTTTATGATAGCAAAGCCATAGACTGCTCTATTTTGTAATAATGGCATTCTCTACAGTGGCAGCAGCCTTCTTATGGAGATTACCAACACACTTTTATTTTACCGGGTTTATTTAGCACAAACAAATCAATTATTTCTGGGCTGTTGTTTTTTAAAAGTGCAAATATCGTGTGCATTTTATTGTCAAAAGTAATCTCTGATAAACTTTTCATAGATTTCAGAGAAACCTTACACTAGAAGCATATTCTTCTCTGTTCATTTTTTTCAGAGATACAACTCAGATAGTTTTGTTTCCATAACAGGATTTTCAGGATTACCAATCCTCCCTATTCTTAAATGCAGTCAATGTTGCAGATCTTTATTTATTCGTTTATTCATTCATTTATTCAGATTTATATAGCCACTTTCTCATCTCATCTATATAACTTTGGGCAGCTTACAAACTATTAAAACAAATATGAAAACAACTAAAAACAAGGTAAAGCAATATAAAATCATATAGAAACCATCATAAATGCACAAAACTCACAGCCAACAATCCCATTCATCAAAACAGTCAATATAGCCAACTGCACTGGCTGCATCACACTCATTTGTCACCATGCCCATTGGCAAAACCATCTCTTTAGGTTCTTGTGAAAAGCCAGGTTGTATGTAATCCAAGTTTAGTTTTCCCAGGCATGGGAGCAGGGAAATCCAGGAAATAACTAGCTGAAAAGTAATTTTATGTATTTTAGTGAGCTTGCTTGTATTATATTAGTTAACCAAAACTAAAATTATAAAAATGCACTTGTTTTTCCTAGATGAATTTATATGAGATTCTACAGTAAACAGATAAAATGTGCACTTTTAATTGATTTCCACTGCATTTTTAATATTTGAGTATAATTTAAAGACTATATTGAGTTGTGATGAAACATACATTAAGCAAACCATGTTATTTGCTGATATTGCTTAGGTTTTAGTTCGTACAGGATGTCAATGAATTTTTACCATATATATTTTTTCTGTAGTGTGGTGAGTCAATTAAAAATATTCAAGAATATTGTGTAGGGAGCTAATATGGATTCTGATTTCAATGTCTTTGTAACTATATAATCTATATCTATTCATCTGTATGGTACATGAATATTGTGTTTGTTAAAGAGGATTTCATAATCATATTTCTCTTTTGAGGGGGGAATATCAAATTGGAAACACTGAATAGTTTTGTAACGATTGGGCATAATGTAATTTGGCCCAATAAAATTAAGACATTGCTCAAATACCCCCACTGTTCTCATCAGCCCAGCTGTTGTAACTGCTATCTTGAAGCAAGTACATCTCTTGTTATGTAGGTCACATCATGTGAAGCTAGCAGCTGGGCAGTTTTGGGGGAGGGTATGAATAGCAGGACTAAGATGAAATGATAATGAAAATACTGCATGGGGACAGATTGTATTTTATGAAATATTACATGAAAGAAAATGGATTCAGAAAAAAGTTGAAAAATACTTCATTGGTAGAATTAAATAAGTATAGAACTACCATATTTAGGCAGTAACAATCCGGACACAGACCTAAATTAAAAGAGCAAAGAAATTATTGCCATCTATATTTGGAGTTTAGCATTTCATATCTGGTAGCCCTAATTAAATAGGGCTTGATACACTAAGCAAATGCCAAAATATATGTGAAGTTTTAAGACTGCAAATACACTATATTGCTAAAAGTATTCGCTCACCCATCCACATAATCAGAAACAGTTGTGAGCAAATACTTTTGGCAATATAGTGTATTTACAGTCTTAAAACTTCACATATATTTTGGCATTTGCTTAATTAATCTTTGTATCTGTAATTAAGAATCAATCACGATGGACAGCTACTGGCACATAAAGGTAAAATATTTCTGGATACTATGTAATAAATTACAAAAAAAATTTAAGATTATACAATAATGAGAAATTATCAGTTTAGTTACAGTTGTCTGAAGTATTATGTGACAAGCTTTGTGCCCTTAATATGAAACCACATAATAGATTTATGCTATGCTTTTATGTTTCTAAATTGACCTTCTATATATACCTTCCCTTTAATGAATCTAAACATCTGTTGAATCCAAATGAAATTTTACACGTGTGTGTTTTCTATATATATTTTCTACAATTTCTCTATAAATTGTCTTGTTCTGTATGTCTAAATCAGGTCTCTGTATATCAGGTTTTTTTCAGTATTGTGGATTTTTAATATATACGTTCAGAACAGTGGTTTTGATTGAATTGCTATAATTAATACTTTAACAAGAACTGATTCAAAACTAATACTTGTTTTAAAATTGTATTAATAAATTTTCCTATGTATACTGTGTAAGCAATTGAGTGTTAGCAAATACAATCATCATTTAATGGTTCAAGTTAGATATCTGAGTGTGGTACTGGCTGGATTGATTTTTCAAGTGAATTAGATCTCTGTTCTAAATTGTAAAAAGAGAGAAAGAGATGTACAACAAACTTAACTTTAAAATACAGTTCCTGGTGAGTGTATCACTTATGTACTAAGTGTGAAATACCAAAAGTGGTATCTACAAGAGACACTTTTCAGAAATGAGAGGATTTGAAGGATAAGCAGGATGATAGTCAAGCTATAACTTCTCAATAGGTGGTACTTCCTAATTTACAAGTAATGAAGGAGTTAAATTGTCATCTATAGAAATATGCTCATCTGACATCCGTCAAATATCAAGTATACCATAAAGGGGAGTGACACTATTTGACACTAACTAGAATAATTTTAAATTGTATTGTTGTAAAAGTGTTTACCCCTCTGATCTCCTAGTAATTTATATCTGTATAAAATAAATGCTTACTAAATTTTGCCTGCATTGTAATAATATATGAATATTCATTTGACTTGGGGTTCAAAAATGCATGGAAGTATATATGTTAAATAAAAATAAGAATAAAGTCAACAAGGGACAATTCCAGGTTTGAGTAATTCTTAGGGAAAATGCCTTTGGAACCTTAGAAAACTTACCTAATAGACTGTGGCCATTAGGCAGTGAATTAATTTCTCATAATGCCTCTTGGAGACTTATGTCAGGATTAATGTAGAAAATTGAAAAGGCAGCTTTATTTACTTAACTATGTTTGGAGTACTGGACTAGGGAAAAATAAAGGATTTGTAAGCATTAGCAGTGAGCTCTGCTAGGGTGCTTTGGCCTTGGCAGCTGCCCAAGGTCATCGCATGCTAGATTAACGGTAGTTTTGGATCCAGATCCCTATCGCCCATATTAGGAAGACACTCTGCATTTTATACATCCGTGTATAGCCTACATTTTAGTAATCTGTATGTTGTTTAAACATAGGAGACCTGAAAAATTGTAAGGAAAAAAAAAACCATGCTAATATACTGTAAAGGCATTATTTAACAAAGTAACATAAAATATCATGAATTGAATGAAACCTGTCTGTAATGTGTATTATTTTTGCTGATGGAATCATATGTATGTCTCCAAATAGATAAACCACGGCCACCATCATCCAGCCCTTCTAGTATTTCCCGCCGTACCCCTTCACTAGACATACTCGCTGCTCCATATCTTGCTGGGCAATGGCCTCGTGATAATCATGGGCAAGTCACACCTTGTATGAGGGATAAAGCCACACAGGTAAAACAGCTTCCGTATATTAATGCAAAAGAAAGAAAAGTCTATTGTAATTGTTCCTTGAACCCGTATAGATAAAGCTTTATTAAATAAATACTTCTTTGATTTTATCATGCAGATTATAAAATATACATTCTGTTGTAATTAAAAAAGAAAAGGAATATATATGAAAAGGAAATGCAGTTATGAATATGCAAAATCTAAATGCCAGTATTAAAATTATATATTATTTGAAAGATGAAAACTATAAAACTCTTCTAATTAAAATAGAGTGATAAGCAAAATAGGCGATATATGTGCATTAATATAATAGATGATTTTCATAAATTAAATTGGTCTGTGTGCATGAAGAGGAACATGAATTTAGTAATGAATAATTGGTTTTATATTTATTAAAATTACATATTATATTTATTTCTTGACTTCATTTACTGTTCCTGTTACCGAAATGGCATACTAAATTGTGGGAGAAATTTGCTGATTACCTTTGTATAATTTTTGAGAATGAGAGGTATCTTTTGATAATAGCAATAGAAAATAGAATGTGGAGCCAGAGAATATAGATCAATCAGTGTGACACCAATGCTGAAGAAGATTCTAGAGTAGATAATAAAGATCAGTTTGTACATATCTTGAAAAAAAAACCATGATTGTTAGAAGTAAGATGCATTTGCCAAAAACAGGTTCTTATTAAATTAATGTTATTTTGTTTATTTTTTTAAAAAATTGGTTACTTACTTAGTAAGGCTACGGTGAAATACATCTTCAACAAAACATTTGATGAAATACTCCATAATACTCTGATGACTAAATTAATTAAGTACGGGTGATGCAGTGGTGGGTTTAAAAATTTTTTGGAACCTACTGTGGGTGTGGCCTCCTTTGTGGGAGTGGCTTGCCAGCCATGTGACCTGGTGGGAGTGGCTTGCCAGCCATGTGTTCTCTCTCTCTCTCCTTCCTTTTGTCTCTCTGTCCCTTTTTTCTTTTTTCTTTCATCTCCCTTTTTCTTTCTTTTTTATTTATTTATTTATTTCTTCCTTTCACTCTCTCTCTCTGTGTCTGTCTGTCTGTCTGTCTGTCTGTCTCTCTCACTCTCTCTCTCTCTGGCAGTGGTGGGTTTCAAAAATTTTTGGAACCTCTTCTGTAGGTGTGGCCTGCTTTCTGGGTCCACTAGTGGAACCTCTTCTAACCGGTTCGGTAGATTTGACAAACCAGTTCTACTGAACTGGTGCGAAGTGGTAGGAACCCACCTCTGGGGTGATGTGATTATCAGATGAATAGTTGTCCTACAAATATGGATATGTACTATAAAAATAGACATTTTTTCAGATTTTTATGCCTTTTTATTTGTATCTATGCATGTTTTCAAGTCAGCATTGACTCCTAGTGATTGCATGGACTAGTGCCTGCAGTTTGCTTGGCTACATTTTTGAAAGTGACTTGCCTTTGCCTTCTTCCTAGCGTTGGGAGTGAGTGATCGGTCCAAGGTCACTTAGCTGGATTCAAGCCTGAGACAGGACTAGAACTCGTGGTGTCCTATTTTTTTTAGCTGGATACCTTAACCACTATGCCAAACTGGCTTTGTCAATAACTTTAGAAAATTTATTTTAATATTGCTAATATTAAAATAGCCTAATTAATAATCCGTAGCCTAAATCTACCACCTTTGTCTTTTTTCTTAAGACTGAGAGTGCTTGGGCTGAAGAATACTTGGAAAAGAAAAAGGGATCTCATAAGCGCTCAGCATCTTGGGGCAGTACTGATCAACTCAAAGAGGTGAAGAAACATGCTGTTTTTGTACTATTTTGATAATAGTATAATAATTATACATGCCCACCAATTCACAGTTTAGAACCACAAGAAATATATTCTTTCTGCATTATAAAATTTGAACTTCCATTGAAAAGGAATTGCTTCAATAGGGTGCATCCTATTCATAAAACTGAAGGCCGTGAATACTTTTCTCTGCAGCCTTCCAGCTGATAAGGAATGATGAACAAAGGGGTATTCAGGAAAAATCATTCCCCCAAATTATCAATAGTATCAGAGCTTCAGTAGTAGGCTGCTGCTACTGGAATATGCTTTGGATCCAAGTCAGTAAGAAATTCCACAAAACTGTTCACCATCTCGGTCTAGAAGGACCATGTTCACAGTCTGGGGATGCTTTTGAATCCCTTGCTTCCTCTGGTTTCTCAGACTGAGGCTGATATGCTTGTATTGGTGTTCTCCAGGTATCATTAATATCCTCTTTGGGGAGTTGTCTTTGTCTCTTATCCAGAAATGCTGGAGGCGCAGTGGTTGCTCAGCATGTGAGGAATAGCTTTTGTTGACTTGTTAAAATACTTTTAAAACACAAAATTAAAAACTCCAGAAAGTTGTTTATTTAATTTTTAAATTATTTTCTGCTTTGTTGGTAACAAGTGAGAATGTTGTTATATATAAGCTTCGGATATAATAATGTTACCAGGAGCCCTTATGGTGAAGTTTGATTCAAAAATTCAACATTTTTGTTGTAGAGTTAAAAAGAAATGCAAAACATTTGTCCTTTCAGATTGCCAAGTTACGCCAGCAACTGCAAAGAAGCAAACACAGCAGCAGACACCATCGTGATAAAGAAAGACAGTCTCCATTCCATGGTAATCATGCAGCTATTAACCAGTGCCAGGTAAGATGAGCGCTAAATGTAAGACTTGTAAACGTTGCTGCCAAGGAAAAGTTAAATATGTTTCAGGCACTGACTTGCCAAAAAGAATGTCTGAAAGCTGCTAGCACTAGAGGAGGAAGAGACCATACTACCATGTTTCACCGAAAATATGACCTGTCCTGAAAATAAGGCCACATTTTTCGGGTGGGCAAAAATATAACCCACCCATCCCCCAAAAATAAGCCCCCTGGACAACACCCCCCTCCGGCCATGCACCTATGCACTATTTTCAGGGAACACAATAGTGAATATTTTTTCCACTTCAGTTGATTTGAATAACTTGAAAATAGTTACACAGCCCCTCTAAAATATTTTACTTTAGATACTTGAGAGTGGTTCTGGGTACACTTAGAGAGATGCTCTTGCTGCCATTTAACCAAGATATTTGATGAATTACCTTTATGATTTGGGAATAAAAAGTGCTATTTTACAGTGGTGCCATTTGTACCTACAAGGTGTACCACAGTGAGTAGCATTGGAGGAACTACTGTAAGGTACCATCTTGTCTTAGGGCAAGTTAAATTTAATATCTTTTCTAAGATGTTCTGGGCTCTTTACCAAATCTGAGTATATTTTTGGATTGTTTTTTCTTTTATTATTGATAGTTGATTCTAAAAGGCAGAAGCTGTTTATCACATTGATTATATGACTTTTATCACCAGAGTTTGCAAATACTTTGGATTTCAGCTATAAGGGTAGTGTCATAAACATAGTGCTTATTGATAGTTTTTTCTTCACTTTTAAAACCACATTCATCTTTTGATCCAGTTTCCATTAATGTATATCCAGCATATAGTTTGATTAAAGAAGAAGAGGCTATACAACGTTGACTCCCTCTTTGGCTAACCCAGCCGGTTTCCCCATGTTCTGTCTATGATATACTGTAGTTTCCTGTTTTGTTTACAGGCAGTCTTGGAAATAATGTTTTAGATTTTGGCAGTGGTTTGCTCTCCAGGTTTATTTCAATTTAGCTTCTGAACATTTCGTTAGGTAACATCATCAGCAGGGTTTTCTTGTCCTGTTCTCCTCAGTTTATAAATGTCTTGTGTGCCAGTTTGGTCAGTTGATTGTGTGATTGGTTGTTCGTTTGGAGATATATTTAAATTCTGAGCAGCTGATTGGTTTTCTTGTGATTTGTCATTCAAATGGTCTGGTATTCTTCAATTTACAATCATAGTTAGGATCAAAACTGGCATTAAGCAGTGTTGTTGTTAAGTGAATCATGTCTAATTTTATGACCTTTTTTCCCTATGGTCATTAAGTCACCGCAATTGTTAAAAACTATCACATGGTTATTAAGCAAATCCAGCTTCCCCCATAGATTTTGCTTATCTTTGGTCCTATGAAATGATTGCAAATAATGCTTATGTTACTCCAGGATGCTGCAATCATTATAACTGCATGCTATTAGCCAAGTGCCCGAATTTTGGTCACATGACACTGCGATTACTTTAAGTGCAAGGACTGGTTACAAGTCACTTTTTAAGCACCCTCATATCTTTTGAATGAATGTTAAACCAATAATCGTAAGTTGAGGACTACCTACGTAGATTTTTCACATAAGGCAATGAGATGTTCTGGGATAGTGTTTTTTCCAAGGGCCTTCCATAGCTTAACATGACCAACACATTCAAAGAGATTTCTATAATCAATGAAGCACATAATGGCATCTTTTTATATTCTTTGGCTTCTCAATTATCTAGTATGTTTCAGCAATAATGTCTCTTGTTCCTTGGCCTTTTCGAAAGCCTGCTTGAACAACAGGCATCTCCTTTTCCATGTGGGACTCAAATCTGTGTTGGATGATTATTTTGCTAGTGTGTGAAATTAAGGATATTATACAATAGTTCACAGACAGTTAAGTCTCCTTTTTAGTAGATCGACTTCTTCCAGTTTGTTGGTTATCATGATGTCCTCCAGATTTGCTGGCATAGCTTGTTAGAATTTTCATTGATTCTTCTTCAGTTGCTTGTCATATTTCTGTGAGTGTTCCATCAGTTCCTCTAGCCCTCTGACTTGGTAAGGATTGTGGTGCTGATGTAGCTTCATGTGCTAATACTAGGCATTTTTGTAAGTAGGGAATATCTTCTAAAGCAGTGTTTTTCAACCTTGGCAACTTGAAGATGTCTGGACTTCAACTCCCAGAATTCCCCAGCTAGCATTCGCTGGCTGGGGAATTCTGGGATTTGAAGTCCAGACATCTTCAAGTTGCCAAGGTTGAAAAACACTGTTCTAAAGTATCTGGGATGTTGACATATATTGTACATAATTTCTGTATATTCCCTCCATCTTTTTTAAAAAATTCTTTGAACCCGTTACTAGCTGTCCATTGTCATTGGAACCTCCTGAATTTAGAGATCTTTTTCCATGTCTGTTTCCATTTTCAAAGTCCCTACAGTCGTAATTGTAATGCTGCTTCTGGTCTCTTCTAACACTACCCTGAAGCTTTGTTAATTTTTTTCCTGAGATTTTTGTTTTTCTTGGCTTTGACTTCTCATTGTGGCAACCAATCTCAAGAGAGCACCAGAGACCTCACTGAATTTTAGAGTTTGGGGAAAAAATAATAGTTGAATGCTATCCTTGCTATCACGTCTTATATACGTGTATTAACAAAGTAAAAGAAGTAGAACATTCTGTTTTAAGTCTTGACAACTGGTTGCTTGGTTATCGAAGCTTCTTTTGAGCCTCCAGAAGATTCTTACACCTTTGACTGAAATATATAAATTTGGATTTAAATTCCAAAGCAAAACCCTGTACTCAAGGCTAAATTGCACATTAATTCTTCATAGTGATAACTTCATTATGATCTTGTGTATCTTGCATCTCCATAACAAAAGAAATGAAACTGTAGATGCTGTGAAAATGGTGGTGGTGAAGCAGAGCATTTTCATCATGCATTTTCATTTCATGAAACTGAAACTACATTGAAATTAAACTAAACTAAAATTATGAACTAAATTGTCTGTTATATTTGCGATTTATCTGTTCCAAAACTTTTTGAAGTATTAACCTGAGAGGTATTTTCACTTCCTCTTCACATTTCTAATTCTGATTCTTAAAAAAACACAACACCTTAAAACATCCAGAAAAACAACTGAGTGCCAGATTTTAAAAATCAACATTTTCATTGTCTGGGTTCTTCCTGTTAGGCATCTGTATCAGAATAGTAGCTTGAATACTATAAATCAATTGAATGAAGTATGGATACTTTTATGTATCCATACTTCTGTGTAGGATTCAAGGAACAAAGATTATAAATACAAAAATGTGCAATAATAAAATAGTACATACCATCTAAAATTCTCCAAATAAACCAGATTCATTTTGTCATTATAATAAAATCTTATAGATAATTTGATTTTCTGTTCTAAATTATATGAAATAACCCTGATTTTCTTTGACCTCTGTTGGGTTTTCAGGCTCCAGTCCCAAAGAGCATGCTGGTTCCTGTGATACCAATAGCTAAGTCAAGTGGATCCCGTTTCCGTAATAGCATAGAAGGGCTGAATCAGGAGATTGAAATAATCATAAAAGAGACTGGAGAGAAAGAGGAACAACTTATTGTGAGTATATTTGTACTCAAATAGGCCTTCAGATAAGGAAAACTTGAGTCCATCATGTCTAAACATAAGCACACCTCTGTATACATGAGCATACGGAGTATGAAAGATAAGCTGCTATCTTGGAACTGTTACATCAAGATCTGTCTGGGGACAATATAATATTTAGAATTATGACATTCAGCATCTATAAACAAAGGCAGAAATGAACATCATGCCTGCATGCCAGTTTCTTATCACTACCCCTGCTTCATGTTGGCTTTACCCTTTAGTCTAGATTTCTCTGAAATCATAGTTTTTGTCTAAACTTGGGAACTGTATTAATGTCAGTAATAACATAATCTTAAACCAGAATTAGGTCTTTATTTCTAGTTAACACACTTACATTGAGCCTTGTTTTCTTTGTGCATGAATTGGAGCTCCAAAGCTCTGAAGGGCTTCTTTATGAGACCCACAATCCTCCTTACATTTAATTTGGTTTCCTTTTTTTTCCCCTTGGGAACCTGAAGAATAAGTGATTCTCCTGTAGCTCCGGTGGGAGGGACTACAACCGGGTTTGTGACAGCCTGATTGGTCCAGAGACTGAGGGATTTTTCTTTATCATCTCCTCCTTTCCCTCCTGGCTCCCAGTTTCCCTCAGTCTCTTGGTCCAATCAGTTGGCTCCAAACAAGGTTTGAGTAATTAATTCATTTTATAGAATAATTGGATACTTGCAATTAAACTGAATTCTGGAAATAATTTGGCTAATTGGATATTCGAAAGGAATCAAAGGCATATGAGCATTGCGAAGCCCTGACTGGAAGGAGGCTTGAGCTCCTGGATGTCTGAGGTGCGCTTTAGCGGCTCCGCAGCCTCCGGAAGGGGGGGGTCGTTCCCTTCGCGCTCAGCGGAGACCACCTGGAGCGAGGTCCATATTTCCACGTCCGGCGGCGTCCGACAGCGATCTCGGCGCCGCGCCTTCGCTCACGAGGCTTCCCTTGCGCATACGGCTAGCCCAGCAGACAAAGCAATAAAATTGTCTTCATTTTTCATTTTATTAAAGTCACAGAACAAGATTAATAGTGTGTGATGCGTAAGATGTATGTAATATGTTTTTTGTTCAACAGCCACAAGATATTCCCGATGGGCATCGAGCGCCGCCTCCGTTAGTGCAGCGTAGCAGCAGCACTCGCAGCATTGACACACAGACTCCGGGAGGAGCAGAGAAAGGCAGTAACAACAGCAGCCGATCTCAGTCTATTTCCCCAGGCTCCTTCCTTGCTATCTCCAACGAGGGCAGCGAGGAGAGCCCTTGCTCTGCAGATGACCTGCTTCTGGATCCCAGAGATAAAGGTATTTCCTGAAAAGTATTATTCCAATGCTTT